TTTCAAATAACTTTTTGACTTGCTAAACTAAATAAATTACAATTAATGACAACTGAATAAAATATACAATTTGTTTCAAAGAATTATAGAAAAATAACAGTACTTTGATTACGCCATTTACAAGGTAAACCGGCCTGAATACTTTGTAACATTCAAACCTTTCTAAGACAGACACTGGTAGCACTATGCACTATTACTAATCAAAGGTGCTTCACACCATAAAGACATAAACAGGCTTGTCCCTTCGATTCAGGACCATTCAACAGTTGCACCCATTTGATCAATAGTTCTTCCGAAGTTAAAAAAATCGAGAATTTGATTGAGAAAAATCTTGTTTGAATGTTTTACATTCAAAAGCACGATTAGCGATTAACTTTGGTCGCTTTTCTTTAGTCGCAATGAATTGGCTGTTTTACAGCAGGGACAAAAAGTGCCATGACCTATCCGTCAAGGAAGATTTGATCAAAATGTTTGTTAGTGGTGCTCACTCGACAAACGTAATTAGGCTTAAAAACAATAGAAATTTAGTACTTATCCTCTTATGAGTATTTCTTATATTGCACTCTGTTAATCATGATTGGTTACTTATACTATCACTTCAGTATTAACACGCCAACGTTAGCATTAGACATTGGTGTCTTCCACTATGTTGTCTTTGTACGATATTGATGCCTCGGCCTCCTTTAGTGGGACTGGTTCCAATTTTTCGTAGTTGACAAAGCCAAAATACCGCGCAATGGCCACACCGGGAATGAATACCACGGACATAAGGACAAGGAGTACCACAATGAATACTGCCCAGTCTGGGTAAGGCACCTTCTCGTAGGTGGCCTAGTGGAAAAATACATAAAAAAGCATAACATATAACGGAATCATCACAAACGTTAAAAGAGAACATAGAAACGACTACGAACAATGTATAAGAGAAGACGAACGCCAAAGTACTTGCAAGGCAGATAAAGGACTGAGCCATCCTCTCTTAAAACCAAACTGAACTATTTGAGAAAGGTCCAGGCTATAACTAAAGGCAAAAATGACTTCCAAAAAGATACGATACAGGTTTTCACATACCTTGTCTTGATTCCAAGCATAGTAGGAGGCCTTTCCCTGTGACATCAACACGATGCTGGCTATCAGAATAGCTAACATCGCAACTGGTGTGACAACCATCCAGCAGATTTTCCAAAAGATGTTTGGTCGACTTCCAGTCATGAATTCTATGTCATCTGAAAACCTGTCAGTAAATAGGATATGAGTAGGACCACAAAGTTACTTCTGTTTACTTGGAGGGTATACAAAAAAAGCCGGATTCCATGCCCATGGGTGACTATTCTTATTCCTAATTCACGCAACCCTCCCTTGTTCCTTTATCGTTTTTCCCAAGCATTCTTGGCAGGACACCTTGCCCTGCCTATGGCGAGGCAACGTTTGTAAACCTGACTATCATGACGTTGCACCACATTCCGGGTTTTTTGTTGTCAAGCATGAACGATTTCGCAGTTATTATGAAATCTTGGCCCTATAGATAGATCTTAGAAACATGATTCATCAGTAAGTTGGCTGCTGAAATTAAAATGGAAAAGAGAGGCTGTCCAGTTTGGACAACAAAGGGCATGAACATGGTCGCCCTGTAACTTTATTTATTAGTTGGTATATTGAGGAATTGCACGTTGTGGAAATAATATATTTGTCATGAAAAGTTTAGTTGTGATGAAAAACCGGTGACGAAAGTTACCTTTTAATCCCATAGCAGTAGCATACACCCACACACTCGAAAATTGCAATTAGCAGAAGAGGAAGGTTTCCCGCGAAACTATCGAATATCTGGAGCACATATTCACCGGAATACGTCACCATGGGAAGACCAATGCAGAAACCAACAACACACATTAAGCCTAGAAAAAAATCATTTTCTGTTAAACTGTGCCACTTGCAATAGCAAAAGCCATATATGGCTCTTGGTAATAGTTATTACAATTATCTACGCCCATTTTGGAGATAAATTTCGTCATTCACTGCAGCCACAGAACTCTTGTCACGTGGGGGTATCTCATTGGGATTAGTTCCCAAAGCAATTGTTAACAAAGAAGCAGTAGTTACACAGGTATTGTTTGATGAATTTATGGTACGTAACGGACGTACATGTGAAAAAGACTAATTTATGCAGTTGTGTGGAA